TGTACTGTGTATATATATCTTATACACACTGTGTCGTTACCTGTACTGTATATATATATATATCTTATACACACTGTGTTACCTGTACTGTATATATATATCTTATACACACTGTGTTGTTACCTGTACTGTATATATATATCTTATACACACTGTGTTGTTACCTGTACTGTGTATATATATCTTATACACACTGTGTCGTTACCTGTACTGTATATATATATATCTTATACACACTGTGTTGTTACCTGTACTGTGTATATATATATCTTATACACACTGTGTCGTTACCTGTACTGTGTATATATATATTATACACACTGTGTCGTTACCTGTACTGTATATATATATATCTTATACACACTGTGTTGTTACCTGTACTGTATATATATATCTTATACACACTGTGTCGTTACCTGTACTGTGTATCCACAGCCCTGTTTTAAATTCCCTCTAAACTGCACTGCTGTCCTGTGTAATTAGATTTATTTCTGCCCCTCCTGCTGCGAGCTGTTCTGTGTTAATGGCGTCTATATAAACGTGTAAACAGCTCAGTAGTCCATCGTCGTGACTTCCTGCGCTGACTTCAGTAAAAGCTCTGAGTGCTTCTCCCTCCGCTGATGCAGAAACAGATTGTGCAACAGTTTGCTGTTGATCAATGTCGCCCCCCCCCCCCCCCCCCCCCGTAACCATATGGTCTCTTCCTCCCACCAGATTCCCCCCTGACCCTCATCACATATGATCTGATTGGTTAATGAGGTAATGAATGGCGGCGACCAGCTGCTGACACACAGAGAGAGGAGGGAAATGATTATTGTACTTTAATTGATGGAGACAGACTGCTGTCCTGCCAGCGCCCCCTACAGGCTGCAGTGCTCCCTACAGACAGGTGTACGCTCAGTTTGTCCTGCAGGTGGCGCTAGAGGAAAAGTCAGAGGGTCAGTCACGTAGAGGGTTCATCCTCCGGAGAGCAGGAAGGAGAGCAGGACGTTTACCCACACAAAAGATTCAGTTTTCACATTTATTTCTCTTGTTTTGGGTATTTTATTCAATTTCTACAAACACAAAGATCTTTTTATCTCTCTCTCTTTTTGAAACACGTCACATAAATAAAAAATGTTAAGTTAAAATAAGAATAAAATTTTATTTATATTTTAAATGTTAATTTCCTGTTTGCATTTCTATGATAATAATTCGGCTCCCAGATTTATATTTTTAGTGAAAATGTTTGTTTGTTTGTTTTGTCTCGTGCTTTCGGCCACGTTAGCGGCTCCGTTCCGCTGACGTCATCAGACGGCGCCGGGTTGGAGGCTGTAGTTCAGCGGCGGAGAGAAGAATGAAGGAAAAAGTGAGTAAACCGTTTGTTTACCGGAGCAGCTGCTCGGGACGTAAACACACGTTCTCCGGTTTGTCCTGCAACAGGAGCCGCGGTTAGCATCGGTTAGCATGCTGCTAGTTTATCACCTTCATGCTGACCGGCTAACGTGCCGACAGCTAGCTAACTGTTAGCATCTGGAAACAAACAAACAAACAAACAAACAAGATCAGTAAACAAACAGTTTGAGTTAATCCTGTAGAGGTACTCAGTGAACATGATCCCACGCCAGACTCCATTCAAATATCTGCTAATTTAAGATCTGTATTTGTAGAACAGCGTGGATCATTCAAATTAAATTCTCTATGATTCTTCCAACAAGCCAAGTGCAACATAAGATGCAGCAGGTTGAGTCCGACTTAATTAAAGTGACCAGATAAATGTCCTGTTGCTGTGGTAGCTGCTACTCACCAGACAGAGCCACCGCCATGACTCCACACCAAACTCCATTCACAGATCTGCCAGTTTGCTGTTAGTAGAAATATTATATCACAAACATCAGGCACTTTCTCAGCAGAGTCAGACATTTAAATTAAAAAGAGACCATTACCTGTAGCGGACTTCCTGTAAAGAAACGTCTTCTTTCTAGGGCTGCTAGATTATGGCAGAAAATCATAATTTCTTTGGTCTTCTGTGCTTCAGATGTAGTAACCTGCTGAGGAGCTCATCCCGCTGTGTTGTTTAGTTCCCCCAGTCTACAGGTCTGTGCATTCCTCACTGCACCGCTGACACTAGATGTATTCTTTAATTCCACGAGGAGCTCAGGATGCAGGCTTGTCTCTGGAAATATAAAACAAAGCTGTGTGAATGCATGTTCAGTAGTGGCTCCTCCTCTCTAATCGGAGACAACATGAATTTCTACCAAACTCCATTCAGGTATCTGTCAGTTTAATACACTGCTCATAAAAATAAAGGGAACACTAAAATAACACCTCCTAGATCTGAATGAATGAAATAATCTCATTAAATACTCCTTTCTTTACATGGTTGAATGTGCTGACAACAAAATCACACAAAAATTATCAATGGAAATCAAATCCATCAACCCATGGAAGTCTGGATTTGGAGTCACACTCAAAATCAAAATGGGAAACACTACAGGCCGATCCAACTTTGATGTAATGTCCTTAAAACAAGTCAAAATGAGGCTCAGTAGTGTGTGTGGCCTCCACGTGCCTGTATGACCTCCCTCCCTCCTGTGGACGTCGGGCCCTCGTACCACCCTCATGGAGTCTGTTTCTGACACATGCACATTTGTGGCCTGCTGGAGGTCATTTTGCAGGGCTCTGGCAGTGTTCCTCCTGCTCCTCCTGCTCCTCCTTGCACAAAGGCGGAGGTAGCGGTCCTGCTGCTGGATTGTCGCCCTCCTACGGCCTCCTCCACGTCTCCTGATGTACTGGCCTGTCTCCTGGTGGCGCCTCCGTGCTCTGGACGCTACGCTGACAGACACAGCAAACCTTCTTGCCACAGCTCGCGTTGATGTGCCATCCTGGATGAGCTGCACTACCTGAGCCACTTGTGTGGGTTGTAGACTCCGTCTCATGCTACCACTAGAGTGAAAGCACCGCCAAAACCTCAGCCAGGAAGCACAGGAACTGAGAAGTGTGGTCTCCACCTGCAGAACCACTCCTTTATTGGGGGGTCTTGCTAATTGCCACCTGTTGTCTTTTCCAGTTGCACAACAGCATGTGAAATTGATTGTCAGTCAGTGTTGCTTCCTAAGTGGACAGTTTGATTTTACAGGAGTGTGACTGACTTGGAGTTACATTGTGTTGTTTAAGTGCTCCCTTTATTTTTTGGAGCAGTGTATTAGTGTAACAGACAAACACACTGGAGGCTTCAAACTACACACAAAACACAGACCTCGTTTTGTTTCTCTGAAGTATTTTCAGCAAGTCAGACCCTGAAATGACGTGAAATAGTATTAAGATCACATTTTGTGTTTGTCATCCGCCATTAGTTAAATGTAATTGTTAACTTCTGAAGCTTCAGAGTGGATCAGTGTCCTGTTCGTTGGGAATAATAAAGTTTTATCTTTGATTCTCCCGCAGACTCTCAGGATGCAGCTCGTGTAGGTCGACACAGAATGAGTCGTGATGATGAAGAGACCAAAGCTGGCCGGAGTGTTCCTCTTCGTGGGCTGCCTGCTCGCCTACCTCATGTTCGTGAAGCGTCACTACGCCGCCACAAAGCCCGACGCCTACAGACTACCTCCCCTCGCCCGGGCCGGCCCGGACCAGCTCGGAGACGATAGGCCCGCAGCGGCTGGGCCGAGCTTCCGGTATGGCATCATGTTCGATGCTGGAAGCACCGGGACCCGAGTCCACGTCTTCAAGTTCCAGATGGAGAACAGAGGTACAGCAGGGGACGGATGGGAGATGTTCATGTGTTGCTGCAGTAAACAGAGCAGCTAATATCATTCCACACCAAACTCCATTCATATATCTGACACTTTAATATCCATTTGCATGTCGGGCAACACTTGATTTAACCAGGAAGGAACCTTGTGATTTAAATCTTTGCTTAGAGACACCTGGCCAAGACCGCATACCTGTTAGTTTTACGTTTCTCAGTTACATGCACTTTAACATGGCTTCACATTTGTCTGAGGGGACCAGATTATTAAGATGTAGTAAGTTCTTTCAGCATATTCAAAGTCTGACAAAGTGACCTGCACGTGTGTATTTCATGCCCAACATGTTAGAACAAGCCTGACTTCTAAGATAAAATCCTGTCTTTAGTGTAAAGTAGGAGTTCAAAAGGTACATTTGCGATCATCATTGGAGCATCGACCAGAATGCACAGTAGTAAGCCAGGAAAATCCTCAATAAGGTTAACGAGCCAATCAGTGATGAGAAAAGAAAGGAAAGGAAGTGAATAAAGTAGAAATAATGCTGCGTTGCAGACCGGTCGGAACTGGGAAATTTCCAAGTTGAAATGCCCGACTTCCGACCTCAAAGCGTTTCAGGTGCATGACGCCAAATGTAAACAATAAACATGGCTGACCGTGACAAACTTATGTTCCTTTGGCAGGTTTCTGACAGTTAAAGCCTCGGCATTATTTAAATACATGGAAATATACTTCATGTTGCCTTTCAGTTTATGTTGTGTGTGTGTTTCCACGGGAGCTGCCATTGTTGTGGTATGTCATTCAGCTGCTACTCGTGAAGGCGGGGTACATCATTTTAGTAGGAGTAGGAAATCCGACTTCAAGTGGCGTTCCAGGATAGTTTTTGTAGTTGGAGGTTGTGGAACGCAACATAAATTGCGGATCTTTACTACACTTAGTTTCTTCAACAAGATTTTCAAATTTCATTGTGTCGCGTCCACTGAGTCTGCCTGTGTAGCGTTACGGCTGCCGGAGCTAAACGCAGCCATTCTAGTCAGTGGTTGTGAGTCCACCAGACAGGGCGACAGCGAAGTCAGAAAACAGAACGGCATAGAGAATCTGGTCGATTTTCAAAATAAAACACCCTGTGTAAACTCCAGATCGTATATCAACAATAAACACAATTAAAATGGATAAAAAAAACAACAACATTTAACTACGTAGCCTACTTAACCATGGTAGAAGCACAAAAATCAAGCACTAATTACCAAATCACCAGAAAAATCAGGCAAAATG